GGGGGGAATATTTCTCCTCTGTGCATTGCATGCGAATCCTCTTCCCCGTCCCCTCCAACCCCTTCCCTCCCCATGCTTTGTGCCTGTTTAGGATCATGTGTGCGTATCTGTGTGTGGCTCTCGTGGGGTGGGGGGTACCGGTGGTGTGTGTAAGACTAGGAAGGGGTTGGAATTTTTTTCAGGAGTTTGAATAATGTATTTATTTCCCCCGCACCCCCGCCATATACCCCCTCTGCCGGCCCCCCGCTTTGGTAGCCTACATGTGTTTATATGCGTAGGTGGCTGCTATGTGTGTGCCTGTGGAAACTGGGGGGGGGAGACACGACCCCCCCGCTTCGTAAATTGCAGGTTAAGTGGAGCTAGAGAGCAACACTGTAACCTTATGGGGATTTGCGTGTGTGTGTGTGTGTGTGTGTGTGTGTGTGTGTGTGTGTGTGTGTGAGTGTGAGTGTGAGCGTGTGTGTGCACGGGGCTCCGCGGCCGCGTTCCGCGGGTGAACCGGGGGGCGCCGCTGCCCCGGGGTGGCCCCGCCGTGCTTTTGACATTGAAAAGGACACGCAGCCCCGAAAAGCTGCGATTTTGGGGAACAACGAAATGGGAGGACGGGGTGGGGGGGTAGTAATTAGCAAAGAGGGACACCCCCTCTGCCGCCACCCCCACCACGCTCGGTGGCTGGATAATGGTTCTTAATCAGCCGGTGATTGCCGCCCTCGGGACCCTGATGGCCCCTTGTGCCCCACAACGGGCGGACGCGGAGTTCAGCTATGGGCAGGCTGAACACCGCCGGTATCGTCGGGCTGCGGGGTGATGTGGGGAAGAGGGGGTAACACGAAGCCCGCAACCTCGGGCTGCTATTGTCAACCCCAGCCCTGGCGCAAGGCTCCTGCCCGGCGCCGGGCACTCGCACTCGCACTCACACTCACACCCCTTCCTCGCCGGGTTTCCCCGGAGGGCAAGGGGAACTGGGGTCTCCCGCACCCCTTATTGAATCCCCAGGTGGGAACGTGTGTCAGTGTGAGTGAGTGTGTGTGTCAGCCGTGAGCGTGTCCGTGTGTTTGCATCCCAGCATCCCACCGCCCCACCGGGCACGGCGCTCCCCGCGCTGCCCCTTCCTGCTGTATTTATGTCTCCAAAAAGCAGTTGAGAGAAGGATTTCCGATTCGTTTCCGCTTCAAATAAACGGCCCCGATAATCCCGGGCCTGACGCCTGATGCTGAAAAGGCACTTGGCCGCCCGGAGCCCAACCCGGGGAGGCGGGGGGAGACAGGGCACACCCCGACTCGGACACCCCAGTGGGCAGGTTCCCCTGGCTTCGGGAGGGGTGATGAGGTGGCTGGTGCATGGGGGATGCACACGGGGGATGCGAGGGGAGATACGAGGGGAGTACCCACTCATTCCGGTACCGTGGGGTGGCGGTGTCCCCGCGGCTGCCGTGAGCTGGGTTAACCCAACCGGGCTCTGGGGGGAGTGGGAGGACGAAGGGAGGAGGGGAGGGGAGCCTGGCAGGCTGTTCCACCGGTGTACAGAGGTGTTTCATTAGCCACAGGCCCGCAGTGGCCCCACTCTGGGGTGGGGGTGTCCTTCTATGTCCATCTGTCACACAGCAAAGAGATGCAGAAGAGTGGGGAGAGGAGAGGGCAGAACTGGTCAGTGCTCTGCTGTGCGTGAGAACATCTGAGCCTCCTGGTGTGGATGGAAGGAGGAAAAGGCTACTGGCAAATCTAGTCCTGTGTGGAATATTATGGGTCCAAATGGGAACGATTACTGGTTTGAAAGCCCCTGCATGCAGGATTGACTTGGTGCAGGCTACAGAAATGGCATTATCAGGTGCGTAGAGACAAGTAGCGACAGCATGAACCTGAGGAAACAAGTGGACCCTATTTTATGGACAGCAAAAAAATATTCTTAT